AAATTCCTGGGGGATACATACCAATGTATTCCAAATATATATATAACACATGCATACACACACAAATATATACATTTTAATAAAACATTTATAAATGAAACTTGACAGTAACCTTATTTTAAGAGAAAATTATCAAGAATCATTAATATATAAAATACTTGCTCAAGCTCATTTAAAAATATTATATATACATTTCTAGAAAATACTGTTCTGTTTTCCAGCATTATTTTTAACAACCTAATGCAATAATATGCTTGTTAATTCATCTCACATATTAATATTTTAAAATATTTTTTTATGTCTTCTTACAATAAATTAAAATCTAAAAAATAAAGAAGTCAGTTGATTTCAACAGACTTTTATTATAAGGATTATTTTTAGACTTTGATTGAAAGATTGACTGGAATATCTTACACTTTGCTTTGCAATTTTATCAATATTTTTGAAATGATTTCCTAAGATAAAAATGAAAATGTTTTTGAAACAAATGTTATTTATTTTATTGCTACTGAAAACAACAAATACAATACCCTCTTGATAATCAAAATCTCCAATAATTCAAATCTGTTAGTAAGCTGAATAAATTTTTTAGTAACAATTATTTAAAATTAATAATAATAAAATTTTTTGATTGAATAGCAAATATTAACAACACTTCTTACTGTCTAATCAATGTATTTCTATGCATGAAGTAACTATGTATGTTTAAGTAGCAAAATCCAATTTATGAATAAATTGAAGCCATATGAAATTTCAAATTCATTTTTTTTTTCAAAACAGTAATATTCTTTTCCTTTTCTTTCAATACATCCAGATAACATTAAAGAATGAATTTCCAAACATAAAAAGACGTACAAACAGGCGGGGACAACACCATTCTGGCAAAATCACTGCTGGACAGACACTTTAACGCCATATGGAATAATGTAAACTAAACATTTGATCTTGAATATTAATTAATTAATATTTGCTTATAATCATTTTTTTCATGATTTTATTTAAGTCCATAAAGTCATATTATTTTCATTTGAAAATTTTAATATACATTTTACTTTATTTTAAATTCTAATAAAACATTTTGTGTTAATTCTCAATATCATACTTAGTTTATAAATAAAATTAATTTTATTAGGAATTATTATAAAGTATTTACTTTGCATATTGATTGCAAAATATTCATAGTTGCACGAAAATAGCCCACATGAAACACTGGAAGTTCAAGATCAATGTATCCATAATGTCCAATACATTCTGCTAAATTTTTGCCACATGTTTCACACTTTTGATCTTTCTGACTTGTTCCCTAATAGTGTGGGAAAAAAATTAATATTGAAAATCATATACAGTTTAAAAAAATGTATTAAATTAAAGAGTTGTATTAAATAAACTTTAATGTAACTTTTTACATTTAAACACATGTTATTATATGATTACATAAAAGAACAACATAAAATTTATGATATTTCTATATTGAATAAAATTTAATTCTGAACTTCAAATATAAAATTGAAAATAGAAATTATTCACAGAGTTAACTTTAATATTAAAAAATATATAATTACCATATGATTATCAAGAACTCCATAAGTTACTGGCTTATGAATACTGTCTTGAATATATAAATTTTTACTAATACATTGTATTTGTGCTGCTTGTCTAATATCATTTGCACTATGAATTCCAAAGCACAGGTGACTTCTGAAAAAACAACAATAATAATATTGTCATCATTATTGATCATAAAAACACTATTTGATGGCTAGTTAATCCATTTTAAAGAAATTTAAATATCAATTTAATTTACAGAATAGTATTAGAGCTTTAGATATTAATATATCTTACATAATTATTATAATAAATTTTCCTTTTTTCATTTCCATTGTCTAGGCATATTTTACATATAAACTGTCATTTAGTGTCAAATTATATATAAAAAATAATACAACAGGTTGTGTAACTTTCCTGGAAACATTTAAAACTGCATGTGGTACCATCTGTTACAACATTTTATTTTAAAAATTTTTATATTACAGTGGTGCCTCGTATAACGTACTTAATCCGTTCCAGGTGCACGTCCGTTAAGTGAAAAGTCTGTTATATGAAATGCATTTTCCATAGAAATGCAGAACAAATTATATGTTAAAACATATAATTTGTTCTGCAGCATAAAATAACCATACTGTACCATAAAACAATGAAAATGGAGCAGTCACCAATTATGCCGGGTAGTCAGATGTTGTGAGGAGGAAGTGGAGGAACACTTTCTTCACACATTCATACAGATACAGACTTTTTACACATTGCAGCAGGTCTCTTTTTATTGTTTTTTTAATTGAAGTCAGATTCAGGAGAGGCTACCGGAGCTTGCAGGGTCAACTTCTCTTGTTCCATCCTTTGTTTTTTGGCAGCTGGCTTCTTGAAAAACATGCCCAAGGTGGTCTGTTTCTCTTTCTTCTTCAACACCTGTCGGAAATGATGGGCAAGGGTGTCATTGTAGAGATCATTGATCCTGTTGGCCTCAGCTCTGTTTGAATAATGAGTGTTGGTAAACTGTTAAACCTCTCCCCATTTGACAAGGAAGTTTTTGTCAACTTTCACTCCTTCTGATGATTTATTGCTTTGTTTCTATTTAAATCACCTTTCTGTTTTTTTAGAAGCCATGACTTGCACAACACTTGAATAAATATAAATACCCTACACTGAGGTGATGTACGTAATAAACAAGGGAGCAAGCCGAATCCCAACGGGAGCTCTGTACTTCAGATATACTAATAATATATTCTAATAATACTAATATATTATAAAAATAGCAGATTGTCATTGGCAATGGCAAAAAAGTGGAAACATCATTCACACTTGTTCACAGAAAGTTTGTTGTTTGCCTCATGTAACTGCCAAATGGAAAGTCCGTTGTTTGCAGCATCCGTTATTCGAGGCACCACTGTATTATCATAAGATGGCAAAACGTTTACTTTTGAGGGTAGGGATGAGTTTTATAAAATTTGTAAATGTTAATCATGAGTAAAATATTCATTAAATTTGACTCTACTTGAGATATAACACACGATCCCTTCTATCTTTATCCACCAAAATTTAATAGCATCAATCCCCAAATTCACAAACCTCTGCAAAATTTCATAAATTTTCAACAAAAGACACAGGAGTTATTTAGCTTCAAAGTGGGTGAACAAAATCATGTCATCCACCCACTCACACACATATAGAAAAAACTCTTGAATTTTTTGGCATTTCTCAATGTTTCAAGGTTTCCTGAGTTCAAAAATGTAAAATCTTAGGGAGTCAATTTTTGACCAAATGCCATATTTTCCCTCTGTTGTATATAACAGTCAGAAAATAAAAGTGAAGATAAGAAATTACAGTTTAAATTTTATTATATTGCAATAATTGTACAATTTTTATTTGGGCTAAATATGGCTAATTAATTATAAGATATTAAATTATTTGGACTAAACACAGATCTTGTATTAAATTTAACAATTAGAAATTAACTAATTAATTCGTAATGTTCTGGAAAAAAAGATTGATCCAGTAGAAGTAAAAACAAACCCTTTTCATTTAAAAACTAAACAACATAAATGAAAATACCATTGAAAAGTTTTATTTTAGTTTTATATCAAGATTAATATCTAACAAGTACTGAACCAGTAAAGTGATTTTTCTGACAACAATATAATCATAAATATGTGTCATATCTAAACTTTTATCAAATTTATGTTGAAAATCTCTATATTCAACATTAAACCAATAAAAGATTAATTGAAACATAAAATTAAATAAAGTGGGTTGAAAGCATGGTTTTCTGTACATGCCGGTCCTGACTTCTCCCTGTGTGCAAGCAATGGAAATGTCCAAAAAATTTACAATACTATCACTCTCCTGGTCCACCTGTAGTAATAAACCGTAAGGATTATTACTACAGGTGGACCAGGAGAGTGATAGTATTGTAAATTTTTTGGACATTTCCATCGCTTGCAGACAGGGAGGAATCAGGACCGGCATAAAATTAAATAAAAATAAATTACTGTTTATTCTATTTAATATTTTAGCTTGTGTATGAATTTTTTCCCAAATGAAATCATTGTTTTCATATTTTTCAATGAATTTTTAACAAAGAACTTAGATATCTAGTCAGATTCTCAAAACTTAAGAAAATTTTATCATTTTATTCTAATTATTATTTACAATCTAATTATTTACAATTTCTAATTGTTTATTATTTATTTAATTTGTAAATAATAATAATTAGAATACTTATCATGCCTAAAGTCTGTTCTTGCCCAGGCATCATATCACATACACACAAAACTATAGAAAAACAAGAGATCATATATCATACCATAACTGTTGCAATACTGAACACTAATAATTAGGAAATTCTTAAAAAAGAGATACATACACAAACAAGCAAACAAAAATTTTGATACACTGCTGTTAAAAATTTAAGGAATAAACAAAAAGTTGAGAATAAAATAAAAATGTGTACCAAATCTGGATACAATCCACAGGGATGATTTATGATAACAAATAACAATATTAGATGTAACAAGAGAAAATTTTTTTCAACATTTCACTAAATATATATATTATCGGTACACAGCAAAATTTTACATTACAATGTACAAGTATGAAGTGATTTGAATAATGTAGTTAATGTCTTTGAGCTGAAATACAAGCTTGACACCAACAATTCATGCTATCAGACCATCAACATGATTCTGCAGAATAAATCGCCATTCTTGTAAATGAGCAGATCTGAGCTTGTGAAGAGTATTTCAGATTTGCAATCCATCTTCTTAGAGTGGTCCAAATATGCTCTATCAGACAGATTGTTGCAAATAACATCAATAAAACATAGCCAACACCATTTTAAGTCCTCTGTAAAAACACTGACTCTTCCTCATAGAGGAGGAGGAGTCACAAATATTTTAAATCTTCATTACAAATAAATACAGAGAATGAGAGATTTTCTAGAAAAAATAAGAATCATCAATATCACACAAAGCTGTAACTCTTTCAAAAACAGTACACCATTAAACCTACCCAAAAGTGACCTGAATCTAATTAAGAGAAAACAAACTGTAACAATAGTTAAATAAATACACGAACACTTAAGTTTACAGCACATTAAAATTTTATCAAGTAAGGTCAGAAAGGATGAATTCCATCAAGATCATGTTGACAGAACTGAATTAAACTGCTAACTGACTCACAGATAAAGTTGTCAGATTTTTACAACTGGATTAAAGAATGCTTTAAAGTGATTAATTCTATATCTCTAACTTTCACTCAATCCTGTCCTACTCAAAAAAGTATAATTGAATGATTTTTCAGTTAATAATTAAACATTCTGTTTATATTTTTATTTAAAAATTATAGTTTACATTCTATTGACTAAGAATATTTGCAATTCTAGTTTAATTTAGAATTTAAAATACTTAATAGAAAATCATAGTTTTCTATGTAAAAGAATATGGATTGATATATAAGAATAAGCATAAATCTGTGCAAAAATCCACCATTGCCATTACAAAACACAGGCATTAAAAAATGAAAATAAAGAACAAATTGAGTCCTTTCTTATTTCAGTGAAGGACAAAGATAGTTTAGCTGAAATAACGGACTGTCCTTTGAAATAAAGGATGTCTAGCAACTCTATTCATAGATGTCTAGAGAGATGAAAGGGTTTGTGATTATCATAGAAGATCAGGATAAGTACAAAAAACTATAGGAAGCACATTTTAAAAGATAACACTTATGTACAATGCAGGAGACTGTGAAACATTTTCTTATGTCACAATCAATCTCTTTCTGAGGCCAAAATTTCCAACATGGTTAAAAGAGAGGGTAAATGTCTAACAGTTTTGGCATATCTGTGCATTGTGACAGACCCTGCAATGAGTAGAATGAATCCATTTTTATTTTACTTTCCCTAATAGTTTCATAAATTTTCAAGTTGTAATTAAATGTCCTGAAAAATTTTGAAAACTAGATGTGATCTTTCACAAATTATTATCTTTGATTCTGATAAATGAAAAAAATATCAGATGACAATATCATGAATTGTAGCTATATTTACAGCATAGATAGCCAGCTGTGCAGTAACATTTTAATATACTGTTTGAGGATTTGGATTCAATCTGAATGTAATCAGAATTTGTATAAATTTGAATAAAAAATCTGATCCCTAATATTCATTTTTGCTAACATCACTGCAAGTCATTGCATAATGGGAAAATATTGCAGTCAGCCATACCAATTAAACTTTACAACTAATTTTTACCATTTAGATGCTTAGTCTAGTACTAAACTGCTTATATGCTAGAATTTTTTTTTTATTTTGAATAAAATATTGTTTTAAGCTTGTGAGTAGAAAAATCCTTTTAAAAATACTTGTTTCGCATTTAAGCTCTTTAAATAATAAACTGAATGTCTCTGAATATTTGTTTCTACTTAATAAGTTTTATTGACGTTTCAACAATTGCTATTAGAGTAACTGCTATGTATGTATTTTCATCAATACAATAAACAACTTATAATGTTATTGCTTAAAAAAAGAACTTACATTTTCATTGCAACATCAGTCTCTCTGAACTGTTCCTTCACCATATTGATTTATTTGCATATATAAATATATAAAAAAATATAATAAATGATATACCAGATATAAACAACGAGACTCAATAACACGTTACTTACACAACGTGCTATGCGAGTAGTGTTGCCAACTGTTAGTAAGAAACGAAAAAATCCTAAAAAAAATCCCTAATTTTTTTAATCACTTCCGATAATATTTTGTGCTTTATAAATATCGATAGTTAAATATATATTTTAAGCAATGTATAAAGATCATACGCAATTTAGTTTTATGTAAAATCTAATTTTAAGATTATAAAGGATTGCTTTATACTTTGTCCGTATACAATTGTAATATATACGGGCAAAGGCGGATCTACCTAGGGATTTTTTTTTAAACTCTTTCCGCCCTGTGGGCACTAAGAGAGCCTCTTTTTGTAAGCCCATTATGGGTTCGGCTAGGCCTACAATGGGGCTACCGGGTAGTGAGGGGCGGGACTTGACATATCCAAACGGACCACCCCCCGAAAAATTCGGGGGGTGGTCCGTTTTTTCGATCCGTTCGAATTCGAACCCGGGTCCCCCAGAGCGGTAGACTGCCACCTTGATCGCTCGGCCACTCGGCCGCTACCTAGGGACTAATAGGGCTTAAGCCCTGGGCCCCCAAAAATTGAATTATTGTCATAAATTGTTAATATTCTATTTCTTACGTTATTTTTTATATGACTGAGGGCGCTGAGAGGGAAAGTATTAAGCTGCTGGATTTTCAGCTTTGTTTTTGATTTGCGATATTTGCAGAAATTATGTTTTGTGCTACTAGTGTTATATATTTTTGAAATCGGCAAGAAATAAGGATTGCAACGGTGTTACATTTATTAAAATTGATCAAGTATTTTTCAAACTACAAGCGTTGGAAATTNTAAGCTCTTTAAATAATAAACTGAACGTCTCTGAATATTTGTTTCTACTTAATAAGTTTTATTGACGTTTCAACAATTGCTATTAGAGTAACTGCTATGTATGTATTTTCATCAATACAATAAACAACTTATAATGTTATTGCTTAAAAAAAGAACTTACATTTTCATTGCAACATCAGTCTCTCTGAACTGTTCCTTCACCATATTGATTTATTTGCATATATAAATATATAAAAAAATATAATAAATGATATACCAGATATAAACAACGAGACTCAATAACACGTTACTTACACAACGTGCTATGCGAGTAGTGTTGCCAACTGTTAGTAAGAAACGAAAAAATCCTAAAAAAAATCCCTAATTTTTTTAATCACTTCCGATAATATTTTGTGCTTTATAAATATCGATAGTTAAATATATATTTTAAGCAATGTATAAAGATCATACGCAATTTAGTTTTATGTAAAATCTAATTTTAAGATTATAAAGGATTGCTTTATACTTTGTCCGTATACAATTGTAATATATACGGGCAGAGGCGGATCTACCTAGGGATTTTTTTTTAACTCTTTCCGCCCTGTGGGCACTAAGCCTCTTTTTGTAAGCCCATTATGGGTTCGGCTAGGCCTACAATTAGGGTTGCCACCTTTTTAAAATCGCTGACCCAGACGGCAGGTGAGGTTTGTTCGAACAGAAGTTCCTGACGCATGCGTATATCATTTTGCAATGCAAGGAATAATTGCAGTGCATGCCAGTTCTAAATCAGTTACAGTTAGCGAGTAGGGCGACTTGGATAGGAGTAACGCAAGTGACCTAGCTCCATTGGACATTGGAGGTGTATAAGATTACGAATGAATCGTACAAGCAAAAAAAGAAAAAATAACGTCGACAGCTTCCGCACGATATCCCCGGACGGCGAGTCGGATGGTAACACTATTCCGTGCTTATTTCAATCGGTCCGAATCGTAGGTGGTCGAAAATAAGAAATATTTTCACTGCGCCTATGCCAGTTATAGACGTTATGTCTTTAAGCCAACGACTACCACACTAGTAATTCGGTACACGGGGGAAGAAATATATGCGACGGTTTGCATATAATTTTGTACATATTCATTTCAACTTGCACAACCCGGAGAAATATTAATTAACCCCGGAGCCCGGAGATAACTCACTCAATCCCGGAGTCTCCGGGTCAAACCCGGACAGGTGGCAACCCTACCTACAATGGGGCTGCCGGGTAGTGAGGGGCGGGGCCCGACATATCCAAACGGACCACCCCCCGAAAAATTCCTGGGGATTTTTCGATCCGTTCGGATTCGAACCCTGGTCCCCTAGAGCGGTTGGCTGCCACCTTGACCGTTCGGCCACCCGACTGCTACCTAGGGACTAATAGGGCTTAAGCCCTGGGCCCCCAAAAATTGAATTATTGTCATAAATTTTTAATATTCTATTTCTTATGTTGTTTTTTATATCAGATATAAAGCTTGTCATTCAACACTATTTCATAAATAATAAATATTTCAACATTAATTTTGATGTTATTAAAAACGAATTTTAAACTTCAATTTAAAGATTGTTAATCTAACAAAAAATGGGGCCCCATTGGACTTCAATAAGCCTTAGGCTTCGAAAAACCTAGTTCCGCCCTTGGTCATAGCAGTAACTATTACTTATCAAACTGTTTATCTATCTGTTTTCTATCCTGCATTTAAAAGCGAACGACAAGTTCAGACCATCTATTGCCACACTTTTTTTTTTAACTCTTTCCGCCATGTGGGTACTAAGAGGGCCTCTTTTTGCAAGCCCATTATGGGTTGGGCCAGGCCCACAATGGGGCTGCCGGGTGGGGAGGGACGGGGCCCGACATATTCGAACGGACCACCCCCGAAAAATTTCTGGGGATTTTTCGACCCGTTTGGATTCGAGCACGGGTACCCCAGAGCTGTAGGCTCCCACCTTGACCGCTCGGCCATCCGGCCTCTCTATTGCCACACTGTGCCTGAAATAGTGACAAGTTTCATTAGTGGAGGAATTGAAAATGGTCTACTATTATTTGCTTTATTATTATTTATCTTTTATAAACAGTTGGAAGAACTTTATAGTAAAATGTTTGCAATAAGGAGGAGCAACCGAGATATCAAAACTAAATTACAAAATAGCATAATCCATCAAGAAGAATTGTGGATTTTTATAAATCAATTGAACACAAAATTAGAAGTGGTATAGTATTGTGTATTTTGGGATAATTTGAAGTATCAACCACTTGTATTTCACATATTTGTATCTGATAATTGCATACAGTCAATATCCGGCGGAAATATAGGAACATACAGTCAGTATATATAAATAGCCAATTGCGTATACATATTATATATATAAATAGCCGCGTCCAAAGATTTATTCAAAATAAGATTTACTTTTAAATTATCATATCCTTTTTTAAGTTTTTAATTCTCTTCATCCCGTGGGCGGTGATAGGGGTTTTTTCCCGTATCGGTCGGTCAGACCCGCAAAGGGGCAGCCAGACGGAGAGGGACGAGCCCAAAATACCCGCGACAAACTTCCCACGAAAAATTCCCGCATAGATCCAATCCCTCGTCCCCGCGGCGGTTTGCCCAGGCCTTAACCTTCTCGACCGTCCGACCGTCGTCGAATATTTCGTTATCAATCGATAAAACAAAAACAGAATTTAATAGAAATCGTTTATTATTAATTTAAATTTTTATATTTAAAAAATGCAATCGATGTATTTCGTTATAATGATGTATTGAAATTTTGACAGAAACGTAATCGAAAATATTTGGTATTTCTTTTTACATCTTCCAATCGCTTCCGGTGGCAGAATTCTGAGAGTAAACGCTTCCGGGTCTATTTCTAAAGGCAGAGATTTCTTCCTCCAGTTGTCGTCCGTCTTCGTCTAACTTTTTCTTTTCTTCCGCGTGTTTTCTCATTAATCTGTCGAATTTCTTGTGCAACTGTAATTTATTCCAATTGTTTATTTGTTATTATTTTTCTAACCAACCGTTATATCGCCGAGGAAATATTTTCACCTCTTTTTCCGCTTCTTTCAATTCGTTTTCTTTTTCCTTCACTCGAACCACAAACATCTCTCGTGTTTCATTTTCTTTCTTTTCCAGTTCCTGCGACGATAATCGAGAATCGTTTGAATTTTAAAAAATTAAAATAATCCAAAAAATAACAATTTTTTTCCTCTTTTTGTGAACGGTCTATTTATTTCATTTATTATCAAAACAATTTTGTTAATTGCAAAGTTATATAAACTTTTCGGAAGTTTCGGTCCGTAATTTTCGATAATATCATCGTTGCGTATAAGTTTAATAAATAAATTCTCGCTTAGCATTTTTAAGAAATATTAAAAAAAAAAATTAAGTTCTAGCGCAGTTAAGAAGCTGGCGACGATAGTCAAAAATATTTTCTAAAATTTCTTTGATTTTTGGGCTAACAAAATTAAGCTGGAAATATTTGCCAGATGCTCTTAATTAAGGAATGATAAATTTTGATTTATCCTAAGATGAAATTAAACTTTATGGGATCACTTTTATAATTCATAATTCTGACAGTTAATATCTATATAATCTATATTCTTCGTAAAATAATCATATATTTTATAACAGATACGAGAATATGTTTTAATATCTCGAACAATAATGATATCCGCTTAGTGCCGATATCGAGATTCCACCCCATATAAAAGATATAGAGCATCTAAAATTATGCACCCTTATTCCTCGACCGGCCTCGAACAATACGCGACACGACTGGAAGATCATTTTATTCGAATGCGATATTTCTAATTTAATAAATTTACAAAGTTTAAATTTTTTACCTGGAGATGTTCTCGCCTCTTCTGTCTGTAAATCTCTAGGAGGCTGCTAGGCTTGTTTTTAGAGTCGACGTCCGAGAATCCCATTTGAGTGAGACGTTTTTGCCTGTAAAGTTCGTAGTGGCACATATGAGTCGTCTCTTTCATATCTTCCATGTTGGTCCTGATCATCATTTCTCTCAGTTTTACAAAATCACAATGAGCATCGTTTTCCACTACATTTATAAATTAACAGAAATTATTAATTTACCACATTTAGCATTCTATTTTAAATATTAATTCTTGTAAATTAATTATTTAGTAATATTCATAATTAAATAATAAATAAGTCTGGAGATTAAAACTATATATAAGATTTAGAATGAACTTACAATTCAAAACAATCGAAATAACACGAATAGCGTTATAAATTACCTTCAATAACGCCCCACGGATACTGTCGGACTCTTGCTACTTTATTTCCAACACGTGCAAATTCTGCGCTTCCAACGACAGCGAAGGGAATGTGAGCCTAAAATAAAATCAAATTCGGATCATCGAATAAATCTTAAGAAACTTAAATGAATGCGACAAAAAGAAATACAGTTTCATTAATGCGGTAATCTGTTTTACGTGTAATCTATCGTAATTTATCTTTATTTATAAAATGTTAACAAAACTATGTGGAATTTCATAAATAGAGCTATTATTCTAACATAAAGTTTTACATTAATTAAATTATCAACAACCGCGAAGCAGATAATAGCGAGGGTTTATCGGACCGATGATGGGCGCAAACGCTCGGAAATCAAAGCGAAAATGTTTAATAAACACAAATGACTACGTAAGTATGAATTTTAAATATACCATTACCTTTAGATAATACCTACTAACGATGCTTACTGCTCATACGGTTACATCGGTGTTTTCATCTTTATATTGTATAGCTTTAGGCATAGTTTTAAGTTTACCTTTACCTCGTGTAATTTTAAATATACTAAAGCCTTTAGTTAATACCAATCGACGAGAGGCTATTTTCTGTCGGAAAATAGTCCGTTCTTTACGTAGTCATTTTGTGTTTTCGCTTTGATTCCCGAGCGTTTGTGCCCATCATCGGTCTGATAAGCCCTCGCTATTATCTGCCTCGCGGTTGTTAGGCCTAATAATTTAATTAATATAATTATACCAAAGGCTAGAAGCATCTTTTGCAATCTTTAAAGTTTTATATTTTGTGGTAAGCTCAAACCATAAAAATACTGTACAGTATATTATAATCATCGCATAATGCAACTTCGTATATTTACTAAATAATTGATTCGTTTCATTTTATAATTTTCAATCAATTTTAAGTACATTTACGTTTCGCTTGAAAATATTTCATAATAATTTTTTATTAATATGTAAATATTATGAAATGCCGCGGGTACTAAAGATACAGAGTAAAATCATGCGTAAAGACAATCTTATTCCGTGTAATTTACATAATAATTATAATAACGGAATTCTTCGTGACATTTAAATTAAATTTACCGCAATTATAATTACTATAATTTGCAAATTATACGAATCCATATATTGAGTTCATTATACTGTAAGGTCTCGTTTTATGCGGTGGATACATTCTACAGAAAAGCGCATAAAAAAAATTCGCATAAAAAAAAACTTTACTTGCCTTGAAAAAGTAGGGATACGTTCCGTAATTTTCTAAAATCGCATAAAACCAAAACAATGAGTTAAAATTAACTTAAAACTGCATAAAAAAAGTTTGCAGAAATTAAAAGAAATAGGCTGCTTAATAAATTACTTCGAATGTCTGAAAGANCTGCTCATACAGTTACAGCGGTGTTTTCGTCTTTATATTGTATAGCTTTAGGCATAGTTATAAGTTTACCTTTACCTCGTGTATATTTAAAATTACCTTTATCTATAAAACCTTTAGTTAATACCAACTGACGAGGGGCTATTTTCTATCGGAAAATAGTCCGTTCTTTACGTAGTCATTTTTGTGTTTTCGCTTTGATTCCCGAGCGTTTGTGCCCATCGTCGGTCCGATAAGCCCTCGCTATTATCTGCCTCGCGATTGTTGATAATTTAATTAATATACTGTAATTATACCGAGGGATAGAAGCATCTTTTGCAATAAAGTTTTATATTTTGTGGTAAGCTCAAACCATAAAAATACTGTATATTATAATCATTGCATAATGCAACTTCATATACAGTCGACCCCCATAACACTGTTGATAATTCCGTTTTATATGAATTTCATGTTGTACGAGTCACTTATATTTTACAAATACGTGAGCCGTTCACAGCCCGGCACACGTATTTGTAAAATCTAAGTGACTCGTACATATTTATATCGTTACATGGATTCCATATAAAACGGAATTATCAACAGTGTTATAGGGGGGGTCGACTGTATTTATTAAAACAATTGATTCATTTCTTTCTATAATTTGCAATCAATTTCAAGTACATTTACGTTTCGCTTGAAAATATTTCATAATAATTCTTTATTAATATGTAAATATTATTACAGTAATACAGTATATTTATTTATTGTATAAGTTGAAAAATAAAATTACATAAGTATAATCTATCATGTGCAACATTTATATAGTATATAAGCGTTGCACGTGATCTATACAAATGGTGTTAAAATATCAGTAGTTGTATTGAAAATAGATTAATCTTTGTTTAATTATAATAGAAATAAGATTCTTACATTCATCGAAGCATTTCTCTCCGCAACACTTTCGTCGTCTGTTGGAAATTGATAAATTTCAATTCCGTTGCTTACCAATTCGCTTATTATCTACAATACATCGATAATTAATTGTCAATAAAAAGTTACGTATTACATTTATATTTTAGTAAAAGTCAAGAAATTCATGAATTCTATAATTATATATTACGTTCTCCGGTGGATTTAATAATTAATAAATAATACGTCAAATAAGTCATTAACAAATACAATTATTTCAATCGGTTGTCGCGCTGAAGCTCTGCATTTTCTTCGTATAAAAAATAGTTAAAAATTACACAGAAACAATTAGCATTTTTAATTAATTCTTGATTCTATGAGACTGTTTTTAGGGTCTATTTGTTTGTTTGTATACGGCAACCGGGCATTAGAGCCATACGCCCAGGAGGGATGCCTTCCGTGAGAACTTTCTACGGGAAACCGGCCCCTATTTTAGTGTTACCGATGTGGAAAGATACCGGGAAAAACTCCGTCCGGTTGGCTAGAGGCGAATCCGCGACCAACTATCGGTGTTCGGAGTTTTATCCATTCGGTCATCGGTGGGTTCGTTTGGGGGATTTTGTGGCACTCCCGTAAGAAATTAGAGCTGATCTAAACTGGAAATCGTAATAAATTTTAAATTTCTTCGAAAATTTTTCAGTACTTTTGATGAAATATTTATTAATATTGTTCAAAGTTTAAAGAACGTACCTTGATTTTAAATTTCTGTAATTCGGTTTTTGAGACGATATCGGCTTTTGCAATTATAGGAATGATGTTGACTTTGCTGCTGAGTTCTTTCATGCACATCGCATCGACAGATTTTAACCTGAAAAATTAGTTTCTTTATAAAAATACATATAAATTTAAATATTTTTAAAAATTTCAAATAAGGAGAAATACAAATATTAACAAAGTGATTGTTAATACCATTCTTATAATTAGAAAAATTTTCATAATATTTTATATGACCATAACTGCCTTTCTCCAATACAAGTACATTAAATTTTATTATAACATTTAATCAAAAATTCATCCATTTAGTGATTATCTATTTAAATAATTGTATCTGGTGTTGTATCAATAAAATATTCAGACTGTAGCAAGCTGTTTTCGGACTATTTGAATATAAATTTTGTAAAAATTTAAGAAATAAATTCCTCTGTAAGAATCAATTTAAAATATTGGAATTTAGAAGATTCAAATTCAACAAAAATCAAAAATTTTATAATTTTCGGAAATCTTGGAATTATATACAATAAAAAATTTGAACTGCACAAATTTTGGAATATTGCGGGGGGGTCAAAGGATAGGAAAACATTTGACAAAAGCAAAGAAAGTTTGGAGTTCTTAACCTTGTTTATAAATGTTTTACTTTGTGTAATTAAAATATTTCAAAAAGTTTTTCTTTTCGGAGTATTTTGTTTGGAGTATTGTAGTGTATGGAGTTCTTTTTGGAGTTTTTGATATTTGAATTCATTTATTACTCGATTCAAAAGGCGATCCTTCTTAAATCGTGCGATCGTGATCAAAATATTTTAAATTCGTAATATAATTCCTTCGTTATAAATAAAAATGTCATAAAGTTTTAAAGGAAAATTTGATATTAGAAAACAAATTTTTTACAAAAGTATTTAAACTCTGCACGTACAGTCTGTTTTATACCAATATTTTTTCCTCCGAATAACTTTTTACGATTTTCATATTTATGGATCATATGGAAAGCGAATAAATGACTAGCAAACAAATTTTTCTGGAGTGGAAATATTTTTATTCTAATAAAAGAATGGATAAATTTTACACGCGTGATTAATATCGTTAAACTTTAGTAACGAAAGGTAAAATTATCTTCCACTATAATTTCCTAAAATGAATGAACAAACTTATAAACAACTCACCCGTGGCACGTGGGAACAATAAAATAAAGGCAGACGTCGACGCGAGAATCATGATACGTATCCAAATTTCGTTTAATTTTCAATTCTTCTTGTAAATATGCCTCAAACTGGGCATCAATGTAATCGACAATTGGTTTATAACTGAAAATATAATATGTTAAATTACATTGAAAATGTACATCCGTAACTAAATTAACTAATATTACAGATTCCAATTAATAATTAAAATTCTCGATTAATATTGTTATTACTATAAACTATTCAGGAAAAATTAACGTTATTAAAGTTGCACCTGTGTTGTTTATTAATCTGATCTCCATAACCAACTGTTTCCACCAAGGTCAATTTCAAGCACACATCGGATTCTTGAAGCTCTATACAAATAACAATTGAGATTAAAACTGCAATTTCGTTTGAGATATTTGCTTTTATTTATTGTACTTATTATTAAATATAATCAGAAATGAATTTTATACCAGTTTAGGAACTATTTATAAATCTATAAATATTTGGATATATAGGATAATATTTGGAGTAAAAATATACAAATAGAGTAAAGTAGTAGTGAGGTAATCGTTGCGAATCTAAAATCAGCGGAATATCCAGATTTTGAGATTTTGAGCCGCTCAAAGTGGATTTGGAGGAACCGAGACACGCGCCCCAATTGTTTTTAGAAGAATGTTACGACGATAGAGAAAAACAGAAAATTCAATCCACAATTTTAACTTACCGTAAGTTTTCGATCTTAATTTCACGCCTGGCAGATTGTGTGGACTTTCGGGAGACTCGAAAGACGTGTTAAAAAGAGTATCCATTAATGTGGATTTGCCGATACCCGTCTCGCCTAAAATACAATTAGGATATTTAATTTGTAAATTTGACGATTAAACATTAATTTATTTATTTAAGACCTACTCAAAAAGATATATTTCTTCCTTTTTCCTACTTTCGATAATAACATTAATTACAGATTAATAAAAGAGTTAACGAAACTACAAGAAAAAAATCTATTCAAACTGAAGTTTTCACAAAAAGTACTGTTTCGAGTAACTCGAAATCAGCTAATGAGATTTTTCGACGTACTAACACCGACTTAACTATAATTAGTATGCGTAATTATTTATAATGTATGTTATTCGCTTTTCCATAAATACCGAAAGAACGATAATTTTGATACATAATACAACTAACATTTTAATATTTACAAACAAGTAAAATCAGCGATCGTAATCGCTCGGAAAATTCGAATTTATAATAATTCATAAAGTAACCGCTTCGGTCGATCCCTCGATCGTTTACACGCAGCCTTTCGCGGCAGTAAAAAAAAGTTTGTGTAAATGATCGAGCGAATTTATTAAAATATTTATAAGCATCGACGTTTAAACTCACCGATACACAGTATGTTAAAAGTGAAGCCCCGATGGATGAACTTATTGACGAGTTGATCGGGAAAAGCGTCAAATCCCACGTGTCCTTGCGGCTTCAATGTCCTCACATTTTCGCTTATTGGCTGGTGGACTTTCATTGTGTGTAGCAACTGCTTAATTTTCGGAAACAACAATGAGTATAAAACAATTAATACCATTAACCGACAATGCCACGAAAAAATTTTACAGCGTATTATATAGAAAAGGCCGAGGAAAAAAGCATTATTATAATTATTATATGTTATGTTTATCGTGTCTTAGAAAATTTTACAAAAAATAATGCATTTTTATATGGAAGGAAGAATTTTTAATTAAAGGATTCATATTTGATCTTAGAGATAAATATTTATAATGTTAAATGACAAATGCGAGTATGGATTTAAAATGCCAATTTTATAACAACTTTATAACTTTGTAGAAGGTGCCTTCGAATATAGAATAACGAATGTCCAAAAATGATTAGAAATCTAAATACGAATTCAGATTTAGTTATTACTTTAAAAACACGTTTCTTCTATCAAAAAAAATTAATTTCAACAGCATTATATATTTACTTTTATCAGAAAATACCAATATTTTATTATATATGCGATTGAAGATTGAAATAAAAGCATCGCGTTAACTATCAACGTTGTCGTTGAAGTTTCTTTTCTCGTTCGGCATCTTTTGATATTCTATTCATTGGTTGCAACGAAGACCAGGCTAATTGATTATTCCGCTCTTTTAATTCCATCTAATTTCTCTCTCCTTTCTTTTAAAATTTTTCCCTCCGTGGATGCAGAGTTCCTTTATAACGGTTCAGATTCGCAAAGAAGCGTCTAGGTAGAGAAGAAAGGGTTCGATATACTGTCACAGAAAATTTCTGACCATCCGGCTGGGAATCCTGGATTAATTCTGGGATCGAATACTGATTTCCTCCGAAGAATCGGCCACACGCAATTCGAGATCAAATCTTGAATTCCGTGCGGCCGAGCTCCGTCATCCAGTCATTATTTTACTAAAAGGATTATTCGAGAAGATGCAGACTCAGCTTCGAAGGAGAATCGCTGCAGATTCCTCCGAGCGGGAGCGTCGTACGCTCCTCTATACCTGCCGAACAGTTACTGAAGCACCCAATTTATAAGTCTTATACATTATTATTTTGATCCATTTACACCTCATTTAATTTTAACGCCACATATAAAGTCCATCTTATAAAATATCGATCCCAAATTTAAACTCGAACGAATATTTGAATATCGATTATTATTAAAGATCTTTCTTAAAAATAAAATAAATAATTTATAAATTACAGAATAAAAAAACATCGACGAACTAAAAAAATTTTTACACCGAAACGTTTTCTGGAACGTCGCCCCGATGCGTCATCGGAGGTTTAGATTTGAATTTGTTCCACGTCCTAAATAAAATAAAATGCCATTGCTGCGAAGAAAAATCAAAAATAGGGGGAAAAAATTAAATACCATAATTGCGAATAATTACATTCATTTTAACAGGAAAGTGAAATTAATTTAATATGCAATAAATAAAATTGAAAAATTAATTATGTCAGTACAGTAGTCTATTTATGTATTTAGGAAAATTAAATACCCGTTCGCTTTTTGTTGTTTATTATTGTTTTTAATTAATTCTTAAAGAATTTTTTATTACTAAAATGATTCCTTCGGCATATTTACTGCTATAACGCGATTAGGAAATATTTTTCAATTAGAATTTCGCGTTGGCTACCGAGACATTCAATTATTGATAATAAAGATTATTTTGACATTCGGTTGAAATACTTACGCTTCTACGCTGCAAATCGGTCATTATTTTCTGTGAAAATTTTGTTAAATTAGGCAAAAAGAGAAGTTATTTTACAAACCGACGAAGCTTTAGAAGATTCGAATTTATTTCAAAGAATGTTACGCCGTTGATCGCCCGAAATGTTCGAAAGATTTCAAATAATGTAAGAAAATTAACTTCGACTCTGTTTTAAACGTCAATGTATAACAGAAGTCTGAAAATATACCAAATGACGTAGGTAGTATTTATATGAAAAATTTTATTTTAACTATGTACTGACTAATGCCACGATTATTTTTCAATTGCAATTGGCAACACTTATTGAAAATAAGTTCATCTATATACCGGTATTTAAAATTACGTGTCCGGACTGACTGACTGATTGATTCATCATCGCCCAGAGCAAACCAATAGCAATCTTATTTTTTTTTTTTTTCACTATACGTGAAAAAAAATAAGATTGCTATTGTGTATTCGAATATTAGTGGCGGAGTGGAAGCTCTGTATTATCAGATTCCAAAAAGCCAGATTTGCGCACGCGCTTTACAGAGCACCAACCTCACCCGGTTTAGCCGGTGGAAGCCTACGACCTTGAGTTGAAGCTACACATATAACGCTTCCAATTCTATCCGGGACCGGATCCGGGCTGTTAGCCGCCCGCCCGCTAGATATTTGGCCGATTTATAACTTAACCCAACCGATAAGAATTTACTGGTATGTTTTTACGATAGTTCTATATAGTTGACAGGTGTTAAAAAATCCATTAAAATATTTGATATTTTTATTTCGCTCTCCGATTTTATATTACTCACGGATTTCAATGTTAAACCAGTGATATTACGATTTTGTATGTCCCATCTCTAAGGGGATGTAGAAAAAAACGTGTACAATTCTTGTACAATGTTAAAAAATTAACCGTTACTTCGACAGCGTCATTTACAACTAAATTTAACGAATGAGAGAGATGCACGAGGTAGAGAAAAAGCTCTAGAATTTATTTCACCTTAAATTTACGATTTATGTATCCGTTTGTCATAAACATTTGTCTTTCCACTTTTTTCCCGAGACTTCAAATATTCGAGTACAAAGTAACTGGTTTCGACTTATTTCTACTTAAGAAGTAGTTAAATAATTAAGCGATTAGGGAATTGGGGATATAAACAAAACCCTGACGAAAGAGCCGGAATATTACTTAATTAAACAAAGGCTTAAGCGAACCAATCTATAGCCGAGTACAGTGGGGACCGATTTCTTCGAAATACTGTTTATTAGATGTAATAAAGACAGAAATTTTTCCAGTTCGACGAGAGTGACCGAAAAGTTGTAAATTTTGGAAATTTCCGTGGACAACACCTGGTCCTAAAACGAATTAGTTAGAAAACAAAAGACAATCTATTAAGTTTAAGGTATTTAGATTTTTACAGCTATGATGAGAAACGTTTAAAATTTACAACAATCCTGTCGCGTCCTTTGAAATACACAGTAATACCCCGAACTTACGCGCTAGGTGGGACCGAGCGATAACCGCGTAAGTCAAATTCGCGTAAGTCGGGGTATAATTTCGCAATTTGTGTAAAATCCAAGTCGGATGTAAGCAAGCTAATAAATGTTCTCGTTAATCTTATCTCGTCTTTTGATTCGTTCACGGTTACAAGAAATCACCACATAGAGTCTCTCAAGTCTCCGTATAATATAACAAACACAGAAATAAATAACACAAAATAAATTGTAGCTATGTGTCGATTCCGCGCGACACGTCCGAACATGTAAGCAGAACAATAGTGTGGGGGGAATGAGTAATCAATAGTTGCGTGGCGCTCAAGCAAAAGACGAATCGATGACATTTGAAAATCGCGTAACTCCGGATTCGCGTAAGTCGAGGTAGCGTAAGTCGAGGTATTACTGTATACTAGTGATGAGACAAAAGAGACATTAACCGGTATCGGCACCCTCGAGATTTGGCATGAATGCACGCACCACACACTTACCAAGATCGTCTCCGATTCCACGAATCACTGATAGGGAGCACTTTTAACTAAGTGGATTGTTTTAATATTTAAAAAGTAAAGAATATCTTATGCTATTTTTATGCACGTTTCTTCACAAAACTATATTCATACAATCGAATATTTTGTACCAGGTATGTATAGTTGTATATCCATCACACATTTTATTTTAACAAGCAAGTTTTTATAATTTTATTTTTAATTTTGGCCCTTATATTATGGCTAGCGATTTAGAAAGTAATTGCGATATTGAAAATTTATTTTAAAAAGTTTTGGCTCGAGACCGTATAATGAAAAAGGAAACATTATTAAAAGAGAAAGAGTAAATCTAAATATATAGAACTGCTTGTCCTGACTGACTGACTCGCTGATTCATCATCGCCCAGAACAAACCGCTGAACCTTGGTACACAGTTAGGGTACGTCACGAAAACGCGCACTAAGAAGGGAATTTTCGAAATTCCCCCGCGGGGGGAGATAAAGAGGATTAAGGCTTAACCGGAAGAACGGCTTCTACTGTACTATTTTAGATGCGATTTTGTTTTCAACTGCGTTTAGTCTTCATCGAGTACTTAGTTGTATTAAATTGATAACATTTCGGACATTGTTATAAATATTTTTATATATTTCGTGATTTTTTAACCAAATGTTCGAACCGTTTTAAATTCGAATTTGTTATTGCGTATTGGTTCGATTACAAAACGATTTTTCGGCAATTATCATTATTTTCAGCGGTAGGTGTTATATAACAATTACAGTATTATGATGTTGAAATACTGAATATAAATGGGGTTTGCTGGCAAAACTACCGCGGGCGAAGTCGCGGGTAACAGCTAGTAACTTCATATATTGATATTTGTTGCATGTACCATCGTTCAGTGCGAACTGTTGCCATTTTTGAAGTAACCGTTNATTGCCCCTGGAAGTCGGCTTGTTACAAAAACACAGCTTCTCTATCATCAAATGTCACGGCACGCCCTTGCAAATTAGACGCCAACTTACAATCTCGCGCGAATTTTTTCCCTTTTATTGACTTTTTTGAGGGGTTCGGGAGGCCTCCAAACGTGTAAATTTGCAAAAGAAACTTGGAGAGTCAAATTTCACACGATTCCAATACTTTTTCGTTTTATATATGTTACTGTGAATGACCGAAATCTGGCGAATGTCAACATTCTCCGGTGAATGTCAACATTCATACAGTCGTTTCGTGTATGTCCGAAATATTTGCTAAATATCGTTATTTCTCACTTACACCGGCAAATGTCGACATTCAGAATGCGCTGATGGTGAATGTTGAATAAAAATATTTTTATTACGTTATGACAAAAATGCAACTTTTTAATATGTCAAAATAGGAGAAAGCTTAAGTATGATAATAGTACATGTAAATAAACTGTTGAACCTAAAAAGGAACAGTACACTCTATATCATTAAAGAAAATAATACAATAATAAACTTACACATAAATTGTGAATAACATTATACAATCTTATTTATTGCAACAACTTAAACTGTTATGGCATTTTGAATTGCACAAGAGTCCCTTGCTTTTACAACTGCATTTATTCGTGGAACACTTTTTTTGCAATGGCAGTGTGTATAGCCTTGCCCTCCACTTTTCGAATTAGCTGCAGCTGCTTCTCTCAGCGATATTTCTTGAGAAGAAATCTTACCTATAAAAAATTTTCTTTACAAATTACGAACTGATTACGGGTATAAGCTGCTTGAGGGTATCATTTTTGTTTGCTAATTTATAAAAGTCGGAGTCTTCTCAGTGGTGATATTCGAAATATTTAACAAAGAGTTCGCTAACAGAAAATTTTTCCTTAACAATTTTTTTCTCAAGTCGACTGCCTGTGCGCAGTCGACTCGAGAAGAACCCGGCTGTTACACGCGACGATAAAACTGAAATAACTACGCGGTAAGTCACCGATACCGACAAACAAAATAGAAGTTTTGGTTAGAAATAAGTGCAATACTTTTTCTTGCGATATATCTTATAATAGACGGATGTTATCGTCTCTCCAAATACAGTATCTTTTTATTTCGCTGTCGATAGTCCGACACATGTTCCGCAGCCATCTTGTATTTTCTCGCGCGCGTGGGATTGTGACATCTCTCTTATGACTGGATCTAGTTCAAGAATTCTCTCGAGTCGATCGCGATTGAACCTCGTTTCGATCGAGATTGAAACGATCGCACCAAGACGAACGGGATATAAGGCTCTAGTTTAGTAGTGTTACAGAGTATAATACGTATATTTTAATATATATTTTTAAAAGAAACAAAACCACCGAGAAATGTTACGTGTGTTTAACAAGGTTCGGAAAACTTTGAAAACGTTAACAACGGGTTCGGCCGAACCTGTGCGAACCCGCTGAATATCACCACTGAGTCTTCTATTCTAACAACTTTCTAACAACAACTGCCAACACATTTCGGGCATCTGTACGGCCACGGTCAACACAGGGACTTGTATTCGTACGGTATCACCAATTTGAGCAGAAGGAAACGGCGAAGAATTTGGCGACAAACTGTCGCCTCTCCGTCGACATCGGCTTCTCGGGTGTCGTTTCGACCTCCACCAAAGCTTATCTGTGCTTGTCAACATACACCGGCGATTGTTCGAATGTATAATAATATAACAAAATATACGGTCTTTCACCGACCTATTTTGTATGTGTCGACATTCACCGGAGAATATCGACATTCTCTAATTTTGGTCTTTCACAGTAACATATACATAACAAGTTGGGAAGTAAAAAGGAGTCGGAGTCGGCGGAGTTTTTGACGACTCCGACTCCACAGCCCTGCTAAATTTTTAATTTGACTTGGTCCGCAAGTGTTGATCCAACTTTGAAACTTTCGCTCGTATCTCTCATGCCATGATATTTTATTTCCTGACGGCTGAGAAATTCGAGCATTTAATCTAATGAATAAAAATCTCTTCAATGTAAAAATAGGAGAAATTGTAATTTACAGTTATTGATGGACCGATTTCTTGAAACTCCAAAATTTTAAATTTATAGAATAGTGATTTCCATCAGTAATATATTTTGTGGGCTACACTGAAAATTGCTTCGTATTCATTCTTAATTTTCTTAGATTAAAGCAGTGGTTCTCAACTGTTGACCGCGGAATATTGGTGTTCAA